TTGGACACTAAAAAAATTGTATTTTTAATAATTAATCATTGAGAATATTTAAAAATTATACATTTTTCTAGAAGAAGCAGACTTAAATTGATATCACAACATTCAAATAGAGGGTAAACAGACAAAAGGACCGCGACCAACCACCAACCCTCAAACCAGACTTAGAGTCAATCACCTTCAAAGAAGCAATATGACCCGCTGATCCCATACCGGGCGTAAATGAGCCAAAACGTTCAAAGCAGACATTCCATCACTCAATCCTAATGCAAGAGTCTTACAACAATAGAAATAGACAACGAAAATGTAAATAGTTTGATCAAGGAAAATAACATCAATAAAGACAGTAAAATTAAACTTCCGCTTCGTCCTCAAGAACACGAGAGCCTTCCACACTCCAGACCAACAATAAGTCTGCTCCAAAAATCTTGGTGGGTCTGTAGTCCGGGGCACGCCGCCTCCCCGTTTTTTGGCTTGTCAAGAGCCATGGTATCACCACTTGGGTCACATCCTATTCCTACCCCTCCCAAAATCTCCTGCTTTAAAACTTGTACATTAAAAATTGTATTTTGAAAAATTTATATGCCCATAATCATTTATAAGAAATCACAACGTCTTATGATTATTATTTTAAGATGTTCATGGATATGACTTTATTTAGTCTTTTGTAAATTATTTTTAATTTATTATTTAAAATGTTCAACAATGATGCAACGAATTGAGTCTAGTTCGTCGTTTTATAATATACGAGTATGTGTACTCGTGCACCGCACAGTAAGATACGTGTATAAAGTTTTTCTTAAATTTATAAGGACCGTCGATTGTATATGAATTCATCCATCAAAGTTTAAAAGAGAACTCAATTGACTCAATGGATTGTATTTTAATAACTTCATTAACTCTCTAGTTTTGTTGATCAAAATCCATATGTTGTGGTTTGACTATATATACTACTTGCGATTTGGTCAAAATATAAACATGTAGTTTTGACTTTCACCATCTTAATTATTATTTGTTTACTACCAAAATTATTTGCTATTATGTACTTATTATTTAACAACAACCTTCGTTGAACTACTATTTTTATAATAATCATTCAAATTAATTATTCCTACATTTTTTTTGTAGCTGAAAATAATTTTTTGACAATTAGTAATCATTGTTTACAAATATATACTCAAAAGATCTAATTTTGACCTTATTTTTCTACAATGAGTTCCTTTGATAAATGTCATCTAATAGTTATCAAATATGGGTATAACAATGATTTAATAATATTTTTTAATTAAACTCATCAACTATGGTGTGCTTAGTATTCTAATTTCTTATATATCCTTTTATTAGTACTTACACACTTAGGAATTGTTCAAGAGGTTCAATAGGTTCTACAGAACAGATTCTTCAATTTATGGCTCCCCAAGTTTTTAATAATTTATTAGTATTATATAGTAATATTATATATTAACATTAATTAGTAAAATACAGTGAACATGTAAGAAAAACACATATCTATTATTATTTTTCGGTCCTTTTAGTCCTCTTTTATTCAAATTGCTTGAGTAATGGGGTTATGGGGCGTATTGCTTTAAATCAAGTATAAAGTTACTTTTAGAACTTTTTATTACATTATTTAATTTAATGAATATTCGATTGATTTTAGTATATGTATTTAGATTGATTTTTTAAGTTTTATATTAATGTATGGTCTCAATTTTACATTTGGAACCGGGGTCCTCAAATTCGTTAGACGACTTTTGCTTACCCATACACACACACACACACTACGTATATAATTTGGATCAAATGAGAACATGATCTAAGAAGAAAAATGGAAATGAGTTTTCGAACATTAGATTTCTGAGTTGCACATTATGTGATATAGAAATGTGCACCACCATAATCACAAAATGAGGTGGCATTTTGTAGATAAGTTTTGTCTTTTCTTCCCATTTAAAGTACGCATTGTTTTAATTATATGTGTGCACCCCCATTGATCATGATGTGCATCGTTACAAATCATTCTTATTTCAAGGTAATTATTTTCAAAAAAAAAATCATGTGTATTGTTTACATTAACCAGTGGGGCAACCTTTAAAACCCGCAATATTTTGTTGGAAAAGAAGCATGAGAGGAATATTTTTTATTTCAAGAGGCTTAAATGTGTTATTTATTTTTTACTTTTGAGTATTTGCAATTTTTGTACTACAATCAAGTGCAAATTTTTACCTATTTTTTATACACAACATTGTGACACATAAATACACACACACACACATATAATACTCCTAACATATATATATATATATATTACACATATTTTTTTTCAAGATTATTCTTGTTTCAGGGTAATTATTTTCAAGATCTTTTTTCATACGTATTTTTTACATTGACCAGTGGGGCGGGGCAACCTTTAAAACCTGCAAGATTTTGTTGGAAAAGAAGTATGAGAGATTTTTTTTTTTATTTTAAGAGGCTAAAATTTGTTATATTTTTTTAATTTTTTAGTATTTGCAATTTTTGTACTGCTGTGAAGTGCAAATTTTTATCTATATTTATACAAAACATTGTGATGCATAAATACACACACATAATACTCCTAACTTATACTACCTCCGTACCAAAAAAATTCGCCATATTGGACCTGTTTGGATATCGGCGGCTTAGGCCAAACCGCCAATTTTTTACAAAGGGAACCCCTGCTTTTTGCAGCGTTTTGGCATGAAACCGCCAAGAAACAAACGGAGTCATTGATTTTTCTTGGTCAATGATGACAAACTTTGGACGATGATTTCAATTATTATATTTTGTATATAATTTAGCAATTTTATAATTTTATGAAAATATTTTGAATAAAGAGCATTTTGATATAATTTTCATATTCTAATGAGAAAAAGGTCAAATAAGGCCTTCTACTATTATGAAATAGTCACATAAGATCATGTACTCAATAAAGTGTCATATAAGTACCTCTACTTGTATAAAACAATGAAATGAGTCCTAACGGCTTATTTAACACCTCCTAATCCCGATTTTAGCTTACGTGTTGATTTTTTGACCTGTCTTTCAGCCAATCTTAGTTAAATATTCGACATATGCCGTATAATCTATTCTAAAAAGATGCTGAGAAGTACTTTGAAACCGGAATTATGACTCATTTTATTGCTTTTTACAAGTAGAGATACTTATATTACACTTTATTGAGTACATGACCTTATGTGACTATTTCATAATAGTAGGAGACCTTATTTGACCCTTTTCTCTATTCTAAATAATTTTGTATTAAAAACTATCATCAATCAAAGTTGATGGTCATTGACCAAGAAAAGTCAATTTGGCGAACCTTTTCGGAACGGAGGGAGTATATATTACACATAAATTTTCTCAAGACTATTCTTATTTCAGGGTAATTGTTTTCAAGATCTTTTTTATGTGTATTTTTTACATTGATCAGTGGGACAGACTTTAAAACCCGCAAGATTTTGTTGGAAAAGAAGTATGAGAGGAATATTTTTTATTTTAAGAGGCTAAAAATCGTTATTTATTTTTTAGTTTTGAGTATTTGCAATTTTTGTATAACAGTCAAGTGCACATATTTGCCTATATTTATACACAACATTGTGACACATAAATACACACAACCATATAATACTCCTAACTTATATATATATATATATATATATATATATATATATATATATATATATATATATATATATATATATTACACACAAATTTTTATCTATTTTTTTATTGCAATACATATGAGTGGGAGTTTAGAAGTTGAATAGCTTTTGTTTTATGTTTTTGCAACATGTCATTTTATCTACAAAAGATGGTGACACATGTCAATTGTATCTCCAAAGAACTCTTCATGAGTTTGCTTTATTATATTATATAGATATTATACAATATATGTATGTGGAAAACCACAAGTTCAATATTTTCTATTTTTGTACCGTATTTGATTTAATAAAGTTGGTCGGTGACTTGGGTCGTCGCAACAATGATTCAATCAATCAACAAAACTATGTTTCTTTAACCTGACATAATATTGCTCCAATATACTCCCTCCGTTCTGAAGAGATTTGTTTTGACTTTCCAAATATACCCTTGGTTTATGTCAAATCAAGCAAAAATAGAAAAAAAGTAAGAGTAGTTGAGACTTTTTGCTTAAAAGTGGTTTCCTTTTACAGAAATAAGAAAATCTTTTCGAGACACATCCATAAAAGCAAAGTGAGAACTTCTTTTCGTGACGGAGTTAATATAAAAGAATTTCAAAACAATATTATATTTTTATTACCTAATTAGCAGAAAAAATTATCCTACTTACTGTCTTGTTTTGACGCTAATGCTTTAAACATGACATCAATTTTCAAGTGTTTTGATAGTTACTCATACTTAGCGAACAAAAATATAATATTTTTTTTTGGATTTCAAATCTTTTTCTCTGAAAATTTTCCCTAACTTTACTACGAAGTACTATCTCCGTCCCGTTGGAAGGTTCCCACAGCAAAACGACACGATTATTTAGACAATAATTAAATAAAGTACTTTGAATGTATTTTGAGAAATAATTTTAACAGGTATATACTATAATGTAGTTAGTATTGATAACTGTAATGTTATAAATGTATTTTTTTTTAATATTTAATGATTAATTTGTCACTTAAAATTGTTAATTATTTCTTAAAATGAAAATCAGAACCTTTATATAGTATGTCCAAAAAAGGAAAGTGAGAATCTTCTAATGAAACGGGGGAGTACAAGATATGAAACTTTTGATGGGCTTCTATTTAATTTCAGAAAACAATTTGGGCTTCACCCGTCAAGGTTTCACACAAATGGATATGTAGATGGATCCAAAATTAAGTAGAGTCCATTAATGTTAGAAGAATACATGCCACTTAAGGTGGTTTAACTGGATCCAAATTGAGCGTGATCCAATCCGGTCTGAGCAAATGGAAGGTAGTCTAAAAGATGACATTATTTTATGGATAAACATACCTACAAACATTTATTTATTTATTACAGTATTTATAACAAAGTATTATTCTCACAATCTCACCTCTGTAGATATACCTACAAACATTCCTTACCGTCATCGTCATTTTTAAACTTGCAGAGTTGCGGCAAAGGTAACTTTCATCTTCATTTCTATCGCTAGTCGCTACTTTATTTATTGTAATTTGATCACCGATTCTCCATGATTGTTAGAACTCAAGGATGATGTCTGTTTTATGTTTAGCTTTGGCGATTTATTTTGAAGAGTTCGAAACTGATTTATATATCTATGCGTTTTTGTAGTTATTGTTGTGCTATTACTGTTTATTTACCGTTCATATCATCATATGACTTATTCTGAAGCCTTGTTGAAATGAGCCTACTGATAAGATCGAACGCATCTGAAATGAGGCTACTTGCATAGTTACATCAGCGTGATTGAGAACATTTGATTAGATAAAAATATTTTTTAATAAGAAGTTGTTTAAAAATAAAATGGTCACTATTAGTATGAGTGGCTGATGCAAATTTTAATTTACAACGTTCATACAATATTTGCACAACTCACGACCATTTTATCACTATATTGAATAATGTATAACAAAATATTTGAGAAATAACAAATTACTCATCTTACAAATGATAATAAATTCTTATGTTTAAATTATTTATTTTGAAATAATTTGAAATTAGTAATACAAGTTGTGGTTAATTGCTTATAAGATAAACTAATGTGTATTTTATGCAACAAACACATATTATGTTAAATGGCCCGACTATTTAGATAACAATTGACTATGCTAATGTGAGTATATTTTGAAAAATAGTTTTGATGGGTATATAATATAATGGGTTATTGATGATAACTGTGACGCTATAGATGTATTATTTTTAATATTTGATGATTAAATTGTTATTTAAGAGTGTTAATTGTTTCCTAAAATAGAAAATGGGAACCTTTGAATGAGACTTCCAACAAAGGGAAGTGAGAACATCTGAATGAGATGGGGGGAGTACTAATAAATGTGTGAATATATATCTATATCTCCCCCCCCCCCCCCCCCCTCTATAACTATATCATATATATGTTCATTTAAAAGGGAAGCCTTGGCATATCGATTGCGGTATTAATGTGTGATGAGGGGTCACGGGTTCAAGTCTTGGGAGCGGCCTCTTGTCAAAATGAAAAGGGAATGGTTGCTCCTTATACACCCTTGTGGCGGGACCCTTCCACGGACCCTCGCCTTGCGGGGACGCTAATTTACACCGGACTGTGCCCTTCTTTTTACATGTTATTTATTTGTATACATAGGAAACAGTTGGGGTTAGGGGGCGGGGGACCCCTGCCACCTTATAGGTAAGCCCTTGCATTTATCTAATCCAGGGGTTATTATTACTATTATAGTATTATTCTGGAATTTTTTTTCTATACCGTGTTTGATTGGGTTTCACATTTTGCATGTTGATATAGTAGTAAGTATTATTACTTAGGAGCAGAGAGAGTGGAGGATGGCACGTTTGGTAATGCCGTACAAGGTTTCAACTTTGTCAAAGACGTGTCTCTTCGGTTTGATCTCCTCTGCTCCTGTGATTATCCATCTCCTTCCAATTTTCATACCCCTTTTCTGCTCTTTCCTGTATCTGATTGACTATCCAAAATAGTGTATAAGGAATTTAAAATAATAAAGATCGACATGGTTGTAGTATTAAGAGCTGCAATGTTCTAGCATGGGATTGTCTGTTACTTAAATGACATTCTATGTTTCTAACTGGCTAGGAAAATTTTAGGGCTGCTTGTTATACTGACCCAAGCGTTTTGTAATTAATGGTTGTTTGTTGTACTGTTTTTTGTTTAGTTGATTATCACCTTGATACTTGTTTAAAAAAGACTTTTGGTTGTAATAGTGTACTGCATTGTTTTTTACTTTGTTTTCAATTGTTTTCCTTTATTTTGTTTGTTTATTCACCATTCAAATACAATTATTTACTTTTTTTCATGTAAGAATACTGTATTTTACATTGCTAGCATTATACGCCGTCTACTGATTGAATATTCTCATTTTTCCGGTATGCAGTTCCAGGGTTGTCGTCTTAGTCAAGTTGCGCTTTCCGTAAGGAGTAGCTATAGACACAGGCAATCCTTTACTTCTAAGGTTCATCCAATTTTCTTGTTTTAGTTTTGGAAGTATGCTTCTCATCTGGTTTTGCATTTTATGTATGTCCTTGAGTTTTTACACTCACCCAGTCACCCTCTGTTTGGTTGTGTATAAAAATAGAGAAGAAAGAAACAGGTAGGAAGAAAGAAAACAACCACATCCAAGCCTTAATCCCAAAAGATTATGGGGTCGGCTCGGAAGAAAGAAAAATGTGGAAAAAATCGTTATAACAGAAATATCTCAGAAAAGAGAAATAGAAGAGATTGTAGAGTAGGTTGTTTGTTAGAAGGGAGAAGTTACCCTGAACTCTTAAGAGATGCATTGAAGAGAAAATAAAGTTTAGGATCAAAGTGAAAATTAAATGCAACTGTGAGGCCATGTTTTTCACGTCGATGAGGGAAAACAAAAGAGAGGTGTGGCCAACTCTCCCCTTTTCTTCTCTTTTTCAGTTTTTCCCTCTCATCTTTATTTCTCTACTTCTCTTTTCAACGAAACAAGGAGAATCCCTACTTCTCAATTTCTCTCCAAGTCTCCCTCCTTCTTCTCTCCCATATTCAACGTGGCAAAAAAAATGCTCCAATGTTTCATGTTTGTGATATTAAGAATACTTGACCAGTTGACCTATCTGCTATCTTTTTCCAATTTTTCCAACCAGGTTACAGATTGGAGGAAGTGTCGTTTTCCAAACTTGTCATTTCCTGTATGCGTTTTTAGATGCTGTTTTCATTACTTCCTCGGCTCTGGCTGTGTCTTTCAAAGACTCATACATTGTTTTTTTATGTGTGTGACTGAGGATAGAATCAAAGAACAACCAACAAGAGATATATCTGTTCTATTGCAACTGAACCAGTAGTGCCTATGAAAGTTGAGGAATCTAAGATGGAAGAACCACAAGAAGTCTTTCTCAAGGATTACAAGCAGCCCGACTACTACTTTGATACGGTATGTAACATCACAGTATCACACACTCATGCCCTCCAGGTTTTTTATACCGTTGTAGTTTAGGTAGGCTTATACTCATAAGAGTCCTATCATATGTACATTAGGCTTATTTGACTAGGTTTCAAATAAGAAGAATCCTTTAGATGAGAAATGAGAATGAATCTTAGCCATTGGATTCAACTATTTTGCAGTAAAAACACTTTATATTGCACTGAAATATGCAACCTAGTTTGGTGGCATTTTCTGAAAAAACCGTATTACAACATCAAACGATTTTAGTGCAACATTGCAAAATTTAAATCTTACAAGCTATTTTTAGTGCAATATCGTAAATCTAACGGTTGAGATTCATTCTCATTTCTCACATTAGATGCATTTCTCACTTGAACCAATATATATATATATATATATATATATATATATATATATATATATATATATATATATATATATATATATATATATAGTAAGGAATAAGGATCATATGAGAACATCTTAGGAGAGAAATGAGAATGATTCTGGAGCGTCGAATTTCGGTGTCATGCATCATGTAAAACATAAAAGTGCATATGAAAATTTGGAAAATGTGTATTTCAACCTTGCAAAGGTTTAAACGTAAATGTGCACATTAGAATTTTGCATTACTTTAACTATAAATGTGCATTTTCGTGAACGGTAAAGTGCATCGTTTTGGAGCGTTCTCATTTCTCACGTTAAGAAGTGTATTCACCGGAACCGCACCCTATATATATATATAGATGACATATCATATCAGGCCGGCCTGACGGGAACCGCTATCAGGCCGAGGCCATTTGGGGTTCTTCCCAATGGATTTTTTCGATAAATGTTTTTTAGCACGTTCTTCATCAAGTCTAGTTTATTCATACCAAATTTCAGCTAAAAATTCAACCGGGAAGGCATTTAAATAAATTCTTTACAAAAACTGTGCTTTATATATATATATATATATATATATATATATATATATATATATATATATATATATATAAGCACAGTTTTTGTAAAGAATTTATTTTTAGCTGAAATATGGTATGGATGAACTAGACTTGATGTAGAACATGCTCAAACAATTTCATCGAAAAATTCCACCGGGAAGGGCCTCTGATGGCCTCAGCCGGACGGCGAGTCCTGTCAGACCAGCCTGACAGGATCGCTACTTTATATTTATATATATATATATATATATATATATATATATATAAGACACACACACACACAAGATCCATGGTCAAGTGTTCTTTCCAGTCACTCTTAGTTTATATAACAAGAAAAGCGTAATCCTGTTTGCCAAATTATAGATTTTTTATTACCCATTTTAATGTGTGTTTGCATTTAATATGATATCAGCCAAACAGTAAAAGATCCTCTCCAACTAATAAATATAATATTATATATTTATTTTATCATTGCTTCATCCACAAGCTTCTAATTTATGCGTTTCTGAAATGCTGTTCAGGTGGATTTGAATTTTTCACTAGGTGAGGAGAAAACAATCGTCTCTTCAAAAATTGCTGTCATCCCCAGAGTTGAAGGTAATGTTTTGAATTTTCTTTCTTGGTTTTGACATGAGTTTCTGCTTATGGCCTTATGGGTTGATCTCCTTCATGAAATGTTGACAATTTTGGATGACCGTAATAGGCTTAAACATCTTGCAAAGGCTAAACATCTATATCATTAATATGTTTTGGTTCATTTTTGCCTGAAAAGCTATATATATTTATTAAATTAAATAAATTATTAATTTATATTAAACAGGTGGCATTTCATCCCCACTTGTTTTGAATGGACATGATCTGAAGTTGATTTCCATACTTGTTAATGGCAATGCACTGAAGGTATAATAGACACACTCTCACAGTCTCACTAGAGTCAAGAATTCTTCAGATCCTTAAAGCTTTTGTATCAGTGGATGTTCAAAACCTTGGTTTTTCTAAATAATTATTTGCTGCTAATTTGGTGGTTTAAATTTACTTGATATGCCAGAAGGTAGATTTTCAATTGGACTCAAGGCATTTGACTATTGCTTCACCTCCAAGTGGCAAGTTCACTTTGGAAATTGTTACAGAAATATATCCGCAGAAAAACACATCATTAGAGGTGAATTATCTTTTTCTGATGTAGAGAAATTCTGTATGCTTTGGACACCTCATCTTTCCTGTTTTAATTCAGAGTATGTAAATATACAGGGTCTTTACAGGTCGTCTGGTAACTTCTGCACACAATGTGAAGCTGAAGGTTTCCGTAAAATTACGTTCTATCAGGTAGATCTTCTATAAACAGTAATTGATTCATAATTATTGTCAACATGCTTCTTCATTCACTGTTCTTTAACTGTGTTTTGTTTGCAATCATTAGGACCGTCCTGATATTATGGCAAAGTACACTTGTCGCATTGAAGCAGAGAAATCCTTGTATCCTGTGCTGTTATCTAATGGAAACCTTGTTGAGCAAGGAAATCTAGAGGTCAACATGAAGTTAAACTGAACCTATTATTTGTACAAAGGGTAATTTGATTTGCATTGATGAGATAGCTTCTACATTTTTAAGTACTTTTTCCGTTTTCTTCCATTCAATGCAGGGAGGAAGACATTACGCCATTTGGGAGGATCCTTTCAAGAAACCTAGTTATCTCTTTGCATTGGTTGCCGGACAGTTGATAAGTAGAGATGACACATTTATGACTCGGTCTGGCAGAAAGGTCTCCCTTCGAATTTGGACCCCTGCACAGGATTTGCCCAAGACAGCACATGCTATGTATTCACTTAAAGCTGCCATGAAATGGGATGAGGATGTTAGTTTTCCTTTCGCGTTTGGTGTTGTTTTACTTATGTCTTTAGTTCTTGTATGCTGACATTATCTTTTCTTGCAATTTCATGAAACAGGTGTTTGGTCTTGAGTATGACTTGGATCTTTTCAATATTGTTGCCGTACCAGATTTTAACATGTAAGTATCTTTCCATTCTCACATTTGTTTTGTTATAACTTCTCTTGATTCCTAATATTTTCTTTTTTTTTGGCAGGGGAGCAATGGAAAACAAGAGTTTGAATGTATGCCTTCCCGAGAATGCATTTTGAGAATTGAAAAAGTTATGCTGGGGGTGCGGGAGGGGGTGGGGTGAGAAACAGTCATGTGAACATTTTTGGTTTTTTGTTAACAGATATTCAATTCCAAACTTGTCTTGGCTTCTCCTGAAACTGCAACTGATGGAGATTATGCTGCAATTTTGGGGGTTATTGGGCATGAGGTATCGCCTACACTATGAAATTATCACTTTTAGTGCAAACATATATTTTAAACCTTATTGATTTCTTTTGATGTTTTACAGTATTTCCACAACTGGACTGGTAATAGGTTGGCTTCTATCTTCCATTCTTGATAAAAATATTGTTTAGGGAGAATTCCCTAATACGAGTAAAAACGTTTAGAATTCAAAACTAAGAGTATTATGTTTGTATTCCCTAAATAAGAGTAATTACTACCATGCTTGGAAAATACTGCCATATTTAGAGTCAGGTAATGCCAAATATGGCAGTATTTACTCCTATTTAGGGAATAAAAACATAGTAGTCCTATTTTGGAATTCACAAATGGTTTTACTCTTATTTAGAGCAATTTCTTTACTTTTTGTCCTTGTAAACTAGTTCAGCTCATTTTTGTGTACTTAATTATTACGATAAAAAGTTTGAGCATGTTTTAAATCTTTTCATATCTTTGTCAAAACAGTTGTTTCTACTTTCAGCTCTCTACTATTCCTTTTTTCCATTTTACTTCTGATCCTCAAGTACGATATTAGCATACCTTCAATAGTAAAAAAGATTATATGCAATGATGCTCCCACAGAAAGTGGGGAATCAAACTTGGAATTAACTCTATTTTGAATTTGTCCTATGCTGTATTAACTATTATGTTCTGAAGATGATAGCTAGACTAACAGTGAACTTGAACAGAGTGACATGTCGTGACTGGTTCCAGCTTAGTCTGAAGGAAGGTCTAACAGTCTTCCGTGATCAGGTAGACAGTTTCATATATACAAGTGTGTGTTTGTGTGTACATATAAATATACGGAGCATATTATTTTTATATCTGCCTATGGTAATTTGCTTTTAGGCTAATAATATACGAAGTAATATATTAATGAGAGATTTTTCTCATAATATATTGGATGCGTGCTATAGGAATTTTCTTCTGATATGGGAAGTCGTACTGTGAAGAGGATTGCTGATGTTTTAAAGCTTAGAATGTATCAATATCCACAGGTGTGTTATTTTTAACTTTATATACAGTACACACAATCAACTATTCTTCAATCCTGAGGTATCGAAATTTTCTCATCCTTGTCCACATCGTAACATGGAGTTATGCATGTTTTTGCAATCTTAAAGGATGCAGGTCCCATGGCTCATCCTGTGCGGCCTCACTCTTATATCAAGGTCTGGAATTCAAATTATACATCAGTCCTTTAGTTTTTGGACTTTTTTATATTGCACACCCGTTTCATCAAATAACAGCTCCTAACTTTGCTCACTTCACTCTTCTCCAATTTGCATAAAATATTGGCAGATGGATAACTTCTACACTGGTTAGTCATTATTAAATCTCACCTCTTTTTTTTGGTTAATATTTTTGTTATTTGTTTTACAATCCGGAAGATTACTAATGCATTTCATGTTCGACTTTGGTGGTTACATGAACCCGCGTTTCTTGGTTTCTGGTTCGGATATCTTGAAACTTTCAGTAACGGTATTATTGCCTTGTAAATTTTGGTCGTATTTTTTAATACTTCAGTTTTTATTTTATTTTCCTGAGTCTAGTTGTGTACTAATTTTTTTGGACTGCTTTTCTACAGGTGTATGAAAAGGTATAGTTTTTGCTTTTGCTCTGCCTGTCTCACTCTTGTGTGTGTTTTTTTCTCATGTTAATCTGCATTTTTAACAATGGTCTTTTTTTTTTGACACACATTTTTAAATCAGGGGGCTGAAGTTGTCAGAATGTACAAAACCTTGCTGGGAAGTGAAGGATTCAGAAAAGTGAGAAGAATATCATGAACTTATGATATAGATTATCTCGTGTTCACACATGATCCTTTTAGCCTTTAAGAAGCATTGCTTTTGTATTTCAGGGAATGGATTTATATTTCAACAGGCATGATGGGCAAGCTGTAACTTGTGAAGACTTTTTTGCAGCAATGCGAGATGCAAATAATGCAGACTTTGCTAATTTTTTGTTATGGTATTTAAGTAATCATTGTCCTTATTTTTCTCTTAAGTTGGTAGGTTCTGTGTCAAACTTTTTAAATTTAATTTATTGAACTTTTAGGTACTCTCAAGCTGGAACACCTCTCGTAAAGGTTACTTCTATTTATAATGCTGATTCTCATACTTATTCTCTAAAGTTCAGGTATAATTGTTAAGTTTTTTTTCTAAACGTTAAATTAATAATTTATAAATAAATATACTTGATAATAATTTGCTGATCATATCTGAGTTAATATCTTCATAGCCAAGATGTCCCTCCCACACCCGGGCAGACTTTGAAAGAGCCAATGTTTATTCCTATTGCGCTAGGTCTTTTAGACTCAAGCGGTAAGGATATACCTTTGTCATCAGTGTACTCTTCTGGGAGGTTGGAAAGTATTAGCACTGGCCAACCAGTCTACACTACAGTTCTTAGGCTAACAAAGGTCAGTTAATTTGTTTCACTTTTCATGCAAAGCATTGCTGTTCGTTCATTTTACTTTGTACGCGTAGGCTCATAGAGTAACTACTCGTAGGAGTAGAGGTCAGATCTGCATAATTCTCACCCATCCCAGACTGTATTTGGTTTGGCTCTTAGTCTAACTAACTAAGCTCATGTGTATAATTGAACCGATGAGATTAGGAATTATCATCATCATTATCATTGCCTTCGTCATTATTATGTTTATTATGATTATTAATATTGTAGGTTTTTCATCCAATATTACCGATTTAGTCAGGTTGGGTGTGACTAAAGTTGACATTGAAAAGGAAAAGCATTTTAGGCATTTCAAATCTTATTTCCAATTAATGAATTTAAAATCATCTGAAATACAAAACACTAGTCACTTTCTCTGTTATGCATAGCGTTTTATCTATATAGCTAAAATCATTTTACATTGAGATTGTTATCTTAAAAATTACTCTTATGCAAATTTACATCCATGCAGTATAAAACATCTTGTGATTAATGTGCAGAAAGAAGAAGAATTTGTGTTCAATGACATAAGGGAGAGGCCAGTCCCATCTATACTACGGGGGTTTAGTGCTCCCATCAGGCTTGAGTCTGATCTTACTGATGCGGATCTATTTTTCCTTCTCGCTCATGACTCTGATGAGTTCAACAGGTAGGTAAATAACTCTAATAATCCTGCAGTAAAACAAAGATTTTAGATAGGCTGAATATGGCTTTCCATTATGTAGATGGGAAGCCGGGCAGGTATTGGCAAGGAAGTTGATGCTCAAGCTTGTCGCTGATTTCCAGCAAAACAAGCCCTTGGCTCTTAACCCGCAATTTGTGCAGGGAATAAAAAGTATCCTTAATGATTCTAGTTTGGATAAGGTTTGAATATTCTTATACTTTCTCTAAGTTTTGATTTTTTTTTAAAAACCATTTGTCTACATGTAAATGAAAAATGTGAAAATGTTTTTTTCAATTTAAAATTCTATTCATCTTTATTTTATCGACACATAAATTATTACTCAATTTTATAATCAGTTTAAAGAATATAATTAAAAAAACTATTAAGCAGCTGGGCAGTACAATAATAAATGGTTGTATATTGTCGCATCTTTGAGCATTCCTGTTGAAAAGAGAACGTGACCTCTAACATGGTGAAATATAGGAATTCATTGCAAAGGCAATAACTTTGCCTGGGGATGGAGAGATCATGGACATGATGACTGTGGCTGACCCTGATGCTGTTCATGCTGTTAGAACCTTCATTAGGAAGCAAATTGCTGCTGAATTAAAAGAAGACCTTCTCAGAACGGTATAACCATGCAAAAACATAGAGCCTAATAAGTTTTGTTTTTGTTTTTATTTGGTGTTGATAGATATTTAACCCAGATGATTATCTGTAGATAAGAGATAATACGAGCTCTCAACAATATGAATTTAATCATCATGATATGGCGAGGCGTGCTCTAAAACAAATTGCTCTTGGTCCGTGGTAGAGTTTAATCAACTTTTAATTGTTAGTCTAATTGAGTGACCTGGTTTAGTAATTAACATTACATTCCATTGCTCACAGCATATCTCGGGTCACTTCAAGGCCCAGAAATTGTTGAGCTGCTTTTGCACGAGTATAAAGCTGCAGCAAATATGACAGATCAATTTGCTGCTCTGGTGGCTATTGACCAGCAGCATGGTCAAACTCGGGATGAAGTTTTGGCCGATTTCTATGAGAAGTGGCAGCATGACTTCTTGGTATGTCTTCCTTTCGTGTTTGGATGGGCTTATTATAAAAGCCGTCCCATAAAAAATATGGTAAAATTTGAAAATATAATCACAAAGTACTTGCCTGGGATTTCCAAATAGAATGTTCAAGAGAACTTTTGGAAGAAGCACCAGTCAAGTGTTTCTTTTAAAGAGCTTTTCTTTCAAGTGCCTTTTTTTCGTTGTTTAGAAGAATATTTGGAAGCATGAAATCATGAATAGTTCTTTATGCATTATTTTGTGTGTGCAGGTCGTAAATAAATGGTTTAGCCTCCAAGGTGCATCAGCCATTCCTAGTAATGTTGAAAATATAAAGAAACTGTTGAACCACCCAGCCTTTGACTTGTGCAATCCAAACAAGGTACTTTCAGCATAATTTGTAAAGCCTTTGTCCATAAGTCCCAATCAAACTTGTGACATGTGCACAATTTGATTCTGATGGCAGGTGTATTCATTGATTGGAGGATTTTGTGGGTGTCCTATTAACTTCCATGCGAAGGATGGATCGGGCTACAGATTCTTAGGAGAACTTGTGGTGCAGCTTGACAAACTTAATCCCCAGGTCTGGTCACTATAGTTATTCAACCATTTATTGAAATCCACTCTTAAAGAATCAAACTCCGGATTAAAGGCATATAAAACAATTCTAGACTACGTTACAATGAAAAACTGGTCTCCTGTGAAAATTATCACTTTCAACTTCTGAACTATTATGTTTGGACTCTTCTCACCATGAAATAGTTTCTCACAAGCATGTGTCTCTACAATGGAGTGAGGATACCTTTTAAAAGTGAAACCATACATCTTTATGCTATCATCACTATTTGACACAATGCCAATGAATATGCAATACAGGTGGCTTCCCGGATGGTGTCAGCCTTCTCCAGGTGGAAGCGTTATGATGAAACCAGACAAGCTTTTGCCAAGGTGACCCCCTAACAGACAGTTGATTTCTTTTGACACACACACAGACACACACTAATAGCTCCCCGCGTAAAAACAATGCTAAATAAACATAAAATTTCCCATTTCAAACTTTAATCATTGTAGTGGTGTTTTTTAAAACAATAGCACTAAGCGTGGGATGAACATATACAGGCACAGTTGGAGATGATCTTGTCAGCGGAGGGGCTCTCGGAAAATGTATTTGAAATTGTTTCAAAGAGCTTAGCTGCCTGATTGTTTTGCGGATTTCTCGCCTTTTTTTTCTTTTTCTCCCTGAACCGATAGCTCAACTGCCTCTGCTTGCTATGAATCTATGATATCATGTGGAATGATTTAAATTTTCCTCGAAAGGGGCGACTTGTTGTTTATAATGAATTGAAATCATAGTAGGTTGTTTCATTAGTGTCTATCCAGATCTTTTTCTGTTTTAGTAAATACATATGGTAAGAGAAAATATTGGAAATGGTCAAATAATCCCATATATCCGTTTGATAGGGGTGCACACAGCCCGGCAGCCTGGTCTGGTCCTGAACCGGGTGTGGCACTTTTCAGGACCGGACCGGGTCCATTTTTTGGGTTTCGGGCCTGGGACCGGCCTTGTCCGTCCAAGAGGGGTACCCGGTCCCGGTTCAAATATTTGGGGACTGAACTGGGCGGTTCCGATCTTGACCGGCGTTTTTTTAGCCTTGGAAATGGGCAAAAGTAAAAAAAAATATAACGGCACCGGTTCAAGAACCGCGACTGGACTGCCCGGGTACCTGGAATCGACCCTGACCTGTAAATAACAGAGTCGGACATGGGCTTGGGACCGGGATTGAGTGCACGCCTATGTTCGAATGCTCAACTTGCACTGAAATTTAAAAAAGCTTCAATTTACACTACAAATTAGAGAAGGTGCAATTTACTTTCAATTCACTGCCGTGTCACTTGTTGAGATGTCAACTGCGCATAGGGATGGACCGGTTCCGGTTCGGGCCTCGGTTCATGAAGGGGAGGCTCGGAACTGGCCTGGGTAACCCCCGGGTCCGGGCCGGGCTTCGGTTCTAATTTTTTTTTTGTGGCTTTTCCTAGTTAACCCCCAACCCTCCCCCTCACCCCCAAACCAACCCAAACCACCTCAAATGGCCCAAAATACCCAGTCCAACCCAAAAACTTAAAAAAATTCAAAAAAAAAATGACCCGGCCCGGGCCTGAATCGGCCGGGCCGATTCACCTTGTGAGTTGTGAAGGGCCCGAGCCTGAACCGCCATCCCACCGGGCCGGGTGGCCTGAACCGGTCAATTAACCGGTTCACCGGGCCGGTCCGGGCCCGCACAGTAGCGGGCCGGTTGGCCTGGCCCGAGTCCACTCCTAACTGCGCATCTAATATTCTAATGTGACAATCCAATGAGTCAAATATGTTCTTGAATCTCACCAAGTTGATCAATTCACCCGCTCACCTGTTGAAGTGGTAAAATTGTGAAAAATAAAAAACACAAATACCTAACAGAAATACAAGGCAAAAATAGAAAGTGTAGAAATCTATAAAATGTATAAATAGAAAATATTTATATTTTGTAGTAAATTTAAAATAAAAAATAAAATATAAACTAATGGAAACTCTTTAACTTTATTTCAATGTTTAATATTTATACCTTAACAAAAATATAATATACTTCGTATATAGTTTTAGTGTTTTACTAATTATATTTAAATTTGTATCTAATATAATGATCAAACCGTGTTGTATATTTTTATACAAAATATAAATATAAAATATGGAAATGAAGTTAATGAATTTCTTTTAGTTTATATTTATTTTTTATTTTGAATTTATTGCAAAATATAAATATTCCCTATTTATACTCCATTTGTCCCAAATTGAGTTGCAAATTTGACTTTTTTGGATCAAATAAATTAATTTTATTCACTTAATTTGAATATCAATTCTTTATTAAATTTTAATTTGGACTCTGCAACTCTATAGAGATTTAAAATTGAATATGTAAATTTTAATTATTATAATTTGAATTAATTATCGATAGGGAGAATTTAACTTTAACATTGATTGACCAAAAAATGTTGACTTTGCAAATCAAATTGTGACGGAGGTAGTATTATTTATAGATTATAGATTTCTATTTTTCATATTCGACTTTTATATTATTTTATATTTCATTTTTTTTATTCTTCCCCAATTTGATATTTTTTTAAAGATAGTGATTTGACAAACTTAGTTGGGTTCAAGGACTTATTTAAGCTTTTGAGTTGTGTCATCAAATGTATAATGGACACCTGACCGAATGATTAGACAATGATCGGAACATTACCTACGAAAAAAATTAAATCTCTTTGTGAGACTTTAGATTAATGTGAATTGGGACTTTTTATTTTATTTATAGGAATCCCTTTATTTATCGGTTGATCTTTATTTGGCAAACAGCTGCAATTCCAATCTACTTGGAAACCTTCCAGTATTGAACAATAAAAACCTAGATGGTTACGATCGATGGTGTATCAAAATGAAGACAATATTTGGCTTTCAAGAGGTTCTTGACATTGTGTTGCAAGGCTATGCAACACATGAGTAACCTACATAGACTCGAAGAAGCTAGAAGGATTTCAAAGCCTTATTTTACATACAACAATGTGTTGATGATGCTCTCTTTCAAGAGGCCTGGGACGCCATTGATAGAAGCTACGCCGGAGTTGAAAGATTGAAGACTATTCATCTTCAGACGTTGCGATGAAAATATGAACTATTGAGATGAAACCTCAGGAAACAATTGATACCTATTTTCCCAGACTTCAAACAATCACCAATTCCTATGATAGTAGACATAACTTTGGGGTCCTAGACAGATCAAATTCCTAGTAATTTTCGTGTCCACTGCCACAATATAGTAAGTTAATTAGTAACAAACACATTCCAAGATCCAGGTCTATACATAATGGGCAGTAGATGTAGAATCATTTTAAAAATGATATTAAGATGACATGAGGCAATGAATATTCTCCTCCAACTCCATCCAGTAACCCATAAACCTCAATATCTCCCAATTGATTTCAACTCCTAAAATTATAAACAACCCACCAATTCCAACATTGTGTTTATCAACATCAGTCATGATTATCATACGCTCTATATATTTATCTTAGTATATTTCTTGGTCCAAAAAGGTGGAATCTCCCACCCCAGGAGTCCCCCATACCCTGACCCGACAAGATTTTTGGGAGGATGTTAATCACGGTGACTTAGTCGGCCCAATGATGATAGGCCTTTTTCCCGTGCGCACTAGAGGCCCAGCTTTATTTCAGGTTCTGTGACCTCCACACGGCCACTGCGGGTTTCGAACCTTGATCACTTGGTCCAAATTTCCCACCACTGAATCAACTGAGCTACCCGTGCGGGTATCTTAGTATATTTCTTTTATATTTTCTAAGGATGTTTTTACTTGGACTGTAATTTGCTGGTCTGATCTGGTCTGGTCTGGACTGGTTTGGTCTGGTCTGGTTTCTTTGTATTTTTATAACTATCCAAGTCTGGTCTGGTCTGGTCTGAACTGGTCTGGTCTGATCTGGTCTGATCTGATCTGGTCTGAGACGAATTATAGTCCAAGTAAAAACATCCTAATACTTTAAATTGAATCATTAAGGATATTTTAGTAGTTTACCATCAATTTTTTTTGTAGCTGCCAATATTACGTTTTTAACTTAATGGTAAATTGGTAATCCATATTGATGATCAATTTTACTACAACACCAAAAACTTCGATCAATTAAGGATATTTTTGCGAGAAGTACTTTTGGCAATGAAACATTGAAGATAATGTCATTCCTTTTTAAACACTGCACAACGTTATTATTGTAAATGCTCATATAAAGCGGCCGTGTGGAGGTCACAGAACCTGAAATAAGGCTGAGCCTCTGGTGCGCACAGGAAAAAGGTCTACCATCATTGGGTCGACTGAGTCACCGTGATTAACATTCTCCCAAAAATCCTGTCGGGTCGAGGTATGGGGAGCTCCTGGAATGGGAGATTCCACCCTTGGGACCAAATGTAAATGCTCATATAACCCTTTTCAATTTTGTATGAATACACCCCTTTACTATCATATTCAATTAGGCTTTGGCAGGAACTATCTTTTTAATATATATATAGGTTTTCAAATTTCAACCATATGTTTTAGAGCCTATTTGGTAACAATGAGTTTTGGTTGAATCAATTATTTATGTTACAGAATCTAAAGTTCATGATAGGCAAATGGAATCCGAAAAATAAAAGAAAACGTTGTCCCAAAGAAACCATCGAAACCATCGATATTTATTGAGATAATACCTGAAATAGGACTAAAACAGTTTGAAAATTCCAAAATAGGATTGTCATGTTTTTATTTCCAAAATAGGACTAATTACTGCCATGTTTTGGCAGTACCAGACTTCAAACATGACAGTATTTTCTAAACATGGCATTAATTAGTTCTATTTTGGGAGTAAAAAACATGACCGTCCTATTTTGGAATTTTGAACCTGTTTTAGTCCTATTTCGGGAAGTTTCTCATATTTATTACTCCTTTCGTCCTACTGTCTTTGCCATTTTTTTTGTGTGTTCTGAAAAAAAATTGTCTCTTTCTTTTTAAAGTAATGAATTTGTTGTTATGTTCATTTAACTCTCCTTTACACAAACATAAACCACACAACTTTTACTTTTCTAATTCACATTCAACATAAGATTGACAAAATTGAGTGAGGCGAATGTAATACTTCCTCCGTTGTTTTTTAGTTGCAACATTCCCTTTTTCATGCTAGCCAATGCACAACTTTGATTGTTATTATATTCAATTCTCTATTAGTAAAAAACTTTTAGAAATCAGATTATGAAACTTCGTAATGAGACGAATTCAACAATATTTTTCAAAAAAAAAATAATTCACATACAATAATAAATAAAATGTAGTTAAAGTAGAGTACATGAATAATGTGTAAATTACAATGTTGCAACTATTATGATAGGGAGGATAATATTATTTATTATGAATTTAATCATTCTTGTGTTTGACTTAAATTTTAACTACATAAATATTTTACTAATAAGCAAAAGTAGCTTATTTATGACAAAATTGAGCCAAGTGAGTGTAGGGGTGGGCAAAATAACCGAACCGGCATGGTACCGAACCGGACCGGTATGATACCGGACCGGAAAATGGGATTTCAAACGGTTCTAAAAAATTTTGTCCCGAACCGGACCGGACCGATTCCAAACCATGTCATGACCGGTTCTCATAAAATGAGAATCGGTACCGGACCGAACCGAACCGAATTATAATTTTATTAATTTATATAATTTTATAATTATATATACATGTATACCATATTACCACTAATTACTTTGATTACTCATTTGCACGTTGCTAATTGCTAGTTAACCGGATCGGTAAAAATGAATAGTATTATATGAAATTCATTAACTATGTTATTGTTAGTTATTTATGTTTTGTACTATTATAGTTTATAAGAAATTCATTAGCTATATAATACTACCTCTGTCACAAAAAACTTTTCAATTTTCAAAACTTTGATCAATTATATTTTTTATTGAGAATTATTTATAGTATAAAAATTATATGAAAATGTTCTTTGTTAAAAATACTTTCATAAAAGTATAAAATTTATAACTTCCATAATACTCTACACTAATCAAAATCATGGTTCAATTTTTTTGAAATGACAGTTTTTTAGGATGTAGGTAGTATGAAAACTGATAATTGTGTGGATTTTTGGATGATGGCTAAGTTTTAATTTATCGAAAAAAGTGACATTGTTTGGCATTGATATGACATGGTACCGGACCGTTTTAAAATGAAACCGAACCGAACGGGTTTAAGTCAAACACCGAACCGAATCGTTTCAATAGCGAGTGTTTGAATTTTATTTATTACTCGTACAAAGGTTATCCACATATCGTCATTCTTATTCTTGCAGAGTCACCAGAGTTGCGGCAAAGGTAGCTTACATCATCATTTTGTATCGCTACTTTTTCTAATTGTTATTTGATCACCAATTCTCCATGATAGGTAGAAACTCAAGGATGATGTCTGCTTTATGTTTAGCTTTGGCGATTTCTTTTGAAGAACTCTACACTGATTTGTATACCTATGCGTTTTTTTTCAACTCATTGTTTTTGTTATTACTGTTTATTTACCGTTTAACTGGCGTATTCCGAAGGTTCCCCCTACGGTGGGATAAGGGAGGGTCGGATGTACGCAGTCTTACCACTGTACTAAAACACAAAGAGATTGTTTCCGGATGATCCAAAGTGAAAATTGTGTCCAAAATTGCATGGACTGAGTGATTCTTCATAACAAAGAAACGCAAACAGTTTAATACGGAGTATATATTTTATAAAAAATTGAGTATAAAAAAACTTATAACACTTAAAAAAGGCCTTTC